GAGGGAACACAAGCAGGGGGGAGTGGGAGAGGGAGAAGCAGACTCCTTGCTGAGCAGGGAGCCCGATGCAGGGCCCGATCCCAGGACCCTGGGACCATGACCCGAGCCGAAGGCAGATGCTTAACAACAGCCACCCAGGCGCCCCAAGACTCTTCTTTAAGATACTGAGTTCCGGGCTTCAGAATTACTAGGAGAGGACTGAGGAATCTGTACTTGTAACAGATACTCTAGATGATTCTTCTCATTAGTCAAGCTTGGAAAGCACTTGACCCAGATTAAATTAATTGCACTTTGGTCATCTGAATACCATTTCCGTGTGTGAGAAGGGGATGTTACGTTTCTAGTATTAACAGAAGGGCTAGTCCTAAGACACCTGATGGTGCTGCTTTTTTGTGGTCAGATGAGACCCTTTAGAAATGGACAGAATTATTTTCTCAGCAGTCTGTAGTATACTGAGGTCAGCCTTGCCTTATAAATTCCTGAAGTAACAGAATGGAAATCTCTTAATAGCCCCAGCATTAGTTAATATTACATTAAAGAGTAAAAAAGAATCTTATTTATGTACTTTGACAGCTCACATCAGTATATGTTGTTAGTGAAAAAAAGTTTCATATACTGTATAGAAGCTATAAAATAACAAATTGGGAGAAGAGAAATAAGATGAATAAAAAAACATTGTTATTCTCTAAATGTTCTTTAAACGGATATAGCAGCAGCCTTTCATAAAACTCTGGAAAAAACAGCTTGACCTTATTGCCCCCTTTCCAACGACGTCAAACAAAAGGAAATTATAGAATAAGTCTGTCTAAATTTTAAATGGCTTAGTTATCGGAAGACTTTAGAGAGCAGTTTTTCCACAAATCATCCTTGTGCTATTTGGTCTTGATTTTTTTTTTTAAAGAGTTGGTGAGCCAACATGTAATTAATCACTTTTGTTGGCTTTTAAGGAAATGAAACTGCAGTGTACCCTTTGACTTTATTGTTCTTCATTTTGGTGTTTTTTAGTGTTGCAATGTAATATGAGAACCTTAGGTGGATGCTTAGCGTTAATAATGTGAACAAAACAATGTGAAAGAAGTAATTTTTTTTAAATCAGCTTATACAGATTATACTGTTTTCATACCTTTGCACCTTCCATATCTCAGATATGAGCAGCATTACTGTGAAGGTCCCTTAGAGTTGGGAGTTGTTAGAGTGTACCTCCCTTGTCAGTGGATGGGGTTAGTCCCTGTGTACAAAATGGCAGTATCCACTTGTTATTAATTCCCATTGTTTCTTCCTCCAAAATCTAGTTTGGATTGATTATTCGTTTTTCATAGCTGCTGCCACAATCAGTGAATAAGAACAGATCCATCTCATTTCATGGAGGAGGGGTGGGAACACCCAACCAGTTTTACTTTCTTGGGCTCTGTTCCATCAGAGTAGTGAACTACCTTCCATGTGTAAATTAGACACGATTTTTAAAATTAAGCATTACTAATCATTGTCATTATTAAAAGTTTACCTAGAGTACGCTTTTAAGATAGACAGATACCTGGATGTATGCAGGCACCTTCCTTTAACTTTTATTAATTTGAAATCATTTTTCCATTTTTAAACCAGTAGTTGTTTGTTTGTTTTAAGATTTTTTTTTTTTTTTTTATTTGACAGAGGGAGCATAAGCTGGGGGAGCGGCAGAGGGAGAGGGAGAAGCAGGCTCCCTGCTGAGCAGGGAGCCCAACGCGGGGCTCGACCCCAGGACCGTGGGATCGTGACCTGAGCCAAAGGCAGATGCTTAACCAACTGAGCCACCCAGGCGCCCCTTAAACCAGTAGTTTTAAGGAAAATTCCAGTAGGCTCTGTATGGAGATTTTTTTTTTTTTAATTTATTTCTTTATCTCAGAGAGAGATCGAGAACACAAGCAGGAGGGTCAGAGGGAGAGAGAACCCCAAGCAGATTCTGCGCTGAGTGCAGAGCCTAATGTGGGGCTCCCATGACCCCGAGATCACAACCTGAGCTAAAGTGAAGTCAGATGCTTAACTGACTTTGCCACCCAGGCGCCCCTCTGTGGAGATTTAAAACTATACATCCATTCCCATCTGTTCCTCCCTTCCTTTCCTCCCCCTACCCCTTTCAAAAACACAGACCTCTGGGATGGGCATTGCTCCACCCTAATGAACTGTTAATGAAAAAGATACTAAGTTCCAAAGACTTAACTTCTTGGTTTTGGTATTTAAGGGCATGCTGGCTTCAAAATGAGTTGGGAAATATTCCCCTTCTTCTGTTTCTTGAAAGAGTTTGTGTAAGATTGTGTTGTAGGTTGAATTGTGTCCCCTGAAAAAATAGGTTGAAGTCCTAATCCCCAGTACTTTAGAATGTGACATTATTTGGAAAAAGAGTCTTTGCAGATAAAATATTAAGATGAGGTCATACTCAATTAGGGTGGACCTTAATCCAGCATGACTAGTATCCCTTACAAGAAGAGATACAGACATGTGAGGGGAAAATGTCTGTGAACACGGAGACAGAGCGTGAAGGGCTGCATCTACAAGCCAAGGAGCACTAAGGACTTCTGGCTACCACCAGAAGCTGGGCGTGAGCAAGGAAGGATCCTTCCCCATGAGTTTTAGAGGGTGCAAAGCCTTGGCGACACCTTGATTTTGAACTTCTAGACTCCAGAACTGTGGGATAATACATACTGTTGTTTAAGCTCCCTAGTTTGTGGTACTTCATTATGGCAGCCCTAGGAAACTCATATAAATTTGCCCTATTTTTTTTCTTTCAAGTTTGTTGGAATTCACCTAGTGAAACAGGATGTAGTTTTCTTTGTGAAAAGATTTTTAACTACAATTCAATTTCTTTTCTTTCTTTCTTTCCTTTTTTTTTTTTTTTTTAAAGATTTTATTTATTTATTTGAGAGAGGGAGAAGGAGAAGCAGGCTCCCCGCTGAGCAGGGCTCCATTCCGGGACCCCGAAATCATGACCTGAGCCAAAGGCAGACGCTCAACTGACTGAGCCACCCAGGCACCCTGAATTCAATTTCTTTAATAGATATAAGCTACATAAGTTTTCTGTTTATTCTTACATCTATTGGTAATTTATGTCTTTTGAGGAATTTGTTCATTTCATCTAAATTACTGAACTTAATGTTGTAAAGTTAAGTTTGTATTTTTTGATATAAGGATGGTCCCTCTTTCATTTCTGATATCAGTAATTTGTGTCCTTTATTTTCTTTGATTAATCTAACTTAGTGGTTCTCAACTGGGGGCAACTTTGTCCTCCCCACCAGGGGACATTTGGTAATACCTGGAGGTATTTTCAGTTTTTACACTTGGGGCATCTAGTGAGTAGAGACCAGGGATATTGTTAAACATCCCACAAGGTATGGGATAGCTTCTCACAACAAAGAATTATGCACCCCACAATATACATAGTGCTGAGGTTGAGAAACCTGTCCTAGAGTTTATGATATACCCCCTACTTTCAAATAATATTATACCATTCGTGTTTAATATAAGCACTTAAAATATTTCCATTTATCATCTTCTTCCATCCTTTATGCTACTGTGGGCATACATTTTACCTACTGTATACATTATAAATCATACAATACATTATTACTATTTTTGCTTTAAACAATCAATCTATTAAAGAAACTTGAAAATAAAAAATATCTAATTGTTACTCATGTTTTTAATACAATTCATTTTCTTTGTAGATCCAAATTTCCATCTCAGCTTCTTTTTGTCTAAAAAAATCTGTATTTTTGCCTTCATTTTTGAAGTATATTTTGGTTTGGTATAGAATTCCCCATTGATAATTTTTTAAATATCCTAAAAATGTCTGTCCACTGGGTTTTTTGTTTTGTTTTGTTTTCATAGATTATAATAAGAAATAAAACCATTGTTCACTAACACAAATTTTTTAAAAAACAACCTGTTTATTTTAGGGAGTATTTCTGGATTTTGTTACAATATTGAAAAATAATTACTTAAAATTTAATGCACTATGTTCAGATCTTGTAAACAGACTTGTTTTTGACTTGTGTTTTTCCTTTTCTCTATTTCTTTCTCCTTCATTCATTAAAAAATTTTGTTTTTTGGGCCGATTACCTCTCTGAGCCTCAGTTTTCTTACCTGTAAAATTGGGCTACCAGTGCTTCTCACAGGTTTGTTGTGAAAATTAGATGGAGATAAAGGATTCAAAATGTCTAGAACAGAAAGGACTCATAAAAATGCCTTCCTCCTCATCCAGCTTCAGCTGTTCTCACCTCAGGGTTCATGTGTGGCAGCGGATCAGCAGGAGTCCCTACTCTGAGTCCTTTCTGGCTGCATGGCAGTAACTCTGTGTAGACATGTTGCCTGCCCTCTGCACAATCCCTATGAGCCAGTATAACCACAGCTGGGCCAAAATGGGGAGCTCTGGTTGGACCATGAATGAACACTCTTGTCACTGCTTCTGATTTCTGTTCCTACCAATAGTTCACATGTTGATTTTAAATAAATCTGATCTTCTACTCAAGCAAGGTTAGAAGATATTTTTTCAGGATGCTTTAATCTGTTAATTTAAATTATTTGAATATAGTAAAAATCCAAGACATCTTGTATTTTACACAGTTTACATATTTAACTTATTCAGAGTGCTCTTCCCTCCAGTTAGGCTAAAGTTATAATCATTTTCCACTTCTCAATTATACAGACTAGCTACAGTTACTTAATGTAACAGATTTTTCATATTAGGAAAATATTAGACATAATTAGCTGTTTGGGGTAGTTGGTCTTGTAATCAGCAGTAAAAACCATTCTTTCCAAGGGATCTAATTACCTTAGAATATATAATAATGGTATTCCTATTAAAGGGTGCATTCATTAAAAGGCTCTTTTCTGTCCCAGCAAGAGAAACTAACTAGCTATGGTAGACTTCTTTTTGTAGATAATATTTTGCTTTCCTTAAGAGTTCGGTGCTATTTTTGGTCCATACCTGGTCCCTTCCCTCATTCTGTTTCTCCTTCTCTCCTCAGTGGGCCTTCGGAGTGACACTGTGGGAGCTCATGACTCTGGGCCAGACGCCCTATGTGGACATTGATCCCTTTGAGATGGCCGCATACCTGAAAGATGGTTACCGAATAGCCCAGCCAATCAACTGTCCTGATGAGCTGTGAGTTTCTCTGAGCTTGAAGACATGGGTTTCATTCCATTTATGATACTAGAAGAGCCGGTCTCCGTATTCATACAGAGACTTCCCTTTGGAGAGTAATGACTCTTTAGACTTGAATTAGACTCATGGAGAACCACAGAGTCAGCCAGACTCATTCACTCTTTAATACATTTGACATTAGAACATTTTTTAGTTCTTATATTTGTAGTGTTTAGTCTAATCTGAGAGACCAATAATGTACATAGTAAGAAAATACTGAATACTGTGTTAGTTATTCTATATAGAGTGTGTATCCGACTTTTATTGATACAGCCTTAGTTATAGAAAGCCTTTCTCATTGTCATCTTGCCTTGCCATTTGGTGTCAACTGATATGTAAGAAAAATGTTCCAGGCTGAGATAGTTCTTGTTTCCTGCCTTCTTCATGTAGGTAATCTTCCCATATAAAGGGAGTAGGGTGGGCAGGAGGCTATTGAGGGGTGATTGAGTGCACAGATAACTGTGGTCTTGCTTCCTGAATCCTCTGAAGGTTTCTATACCATGGTGAGGTGGCAACTTTTGCACTGATAGTACTGTAGATCCAGTGTGCTTAGAGCTTAGATTAATCTTCCTCTTCCTCCAAGTTCTTTCTCCAGAAAACACAGGTTGTTATTTTGTCTGTGTTTTAGGGATTTACATGAAATCTCTATATTTGCTGATGTATTTTGATATGATGTCATGAAGAATTGAAACCCACACATAAAATCCAGATAACGTGTTTTAGTTTCTTTTCATTTTAGAACTGCCAACATATAGTAATATTCATTGATTTTTAATATGTCATTCTCCCCATGCCCACCTTTAGACAGAAAACAACTGGCATCGAATTGACCTAAAGATTAGGAGTACTGTAGCATCATTAGCACAATTTCCCATTTTTGTCACTGCAGATTTGCTGTGATGGCTTGTTGCTGGGCCTTAGACCCGGAGGAGAGGCCCAAGTTCCAGCAGCTGGTACAGTGTCTCACGGAGTTCCACGCAGCCCTGGGGGCCTATGTCTGACTCTCCTCTCACAGTCCCATGGCATCAGGAGCACGGTGCCTGTCGGGGCTCCCTTGGAACCAGTCATGGATGCTTTGTACGTCACGCAACACCAGCAGAAGCACATATGTCTTCCGGAACACCGTGCCTTAGGAATGCTTTAGAATCTGAACTTCTAAAGAGAGACTTAATAATGTGGAATATTTTCTAGATATCATTTTTATTAGGTTGAACTGGAAAGGTTTTTGTAAATTTTCTGGCCCAAAATTTTTTAAAACATAGTTACTTTGGACTAGGGGTACATTCTTACAAAATAAACAGTTTTAAAAATTGTTTAAACACAGATACCTGGAATAGCTATCTTAGTGCCAACTGCTTTTTTATTTTTTTACTTCATCAAGGTAATGTAGGTGAGTCACCTTTAAAGTTTTTTTTTTTAATATTTATCACTAGTCTTGGGAATGGTTTGTCTTCAGAATACATTACTTTTTCTTAGGAAAAGGAAAACAGCATAAAAAGATGTCTGGTTTGCCTTGTATAGGAAAAGGCAATATTGGAGGAAGAAAACTTAAAAGCTAGGGGACAAAAATTTTAAAAAACCCTTAGAAACAGAAACTATCCTTTTGTGGGAAACTGTTTCTTTTTTATTAATGAAAATTATTTCTGCTTTCTTATTTTGGGGGAAGTAGAAGCTGAATTCATTGAAACACTTAAATTTTCCATGACCAGAAGTATGCTTCAGGCAGGTTAGTCAGTAGTAAACAATAGTGATTTTATTTATTTTTTACTCTCTGGGAAAGGAGATAACACTATTCCAGAAAGTGAAATCATGTTTCTAAGGTTAAGAATCCCTTTTATTGCACCTAGAATAGTGCTATGCACAGAGGCGGTGCTTCAGTTGTTCTGGGTAGTGTAAAAAAAAACCAAAAAAGTAAACTGGTAAATTTTGTGCTTCAAGGCTGACTTAAGTATAAAGTTGTTTCTTAAAACACTTGAAAAATTAAAGGATTTGTTTTATAATAGTATTGAAAATATTGTTCATAATGAATGATTGGTTGTGTTTGGTAAGTCTTTGAACATGTGCCATCTAGATAGATACCCATGTAATCAGGCTCCTAAGCCCTAACACAGTTGCAGCTGACTCTACTTAACCTCCAAGTTCTAACAATTTGGGATCATTATTACAAGGAAATATTACAACTTTGAAACTTTTCTCCAGAGCCATTAAGTGAGGGATATGTATGTGTTTATGCTTGGTTGTAGTTGACCTAAGGCAGAGTTGAATGAGCCTCCTAAATAGTTAGGCCTACCGGTGCCTGCCTCTACTCCCGTCCTCATAGGTATATTAGGAAGAATGCACAGCAGTTGGAGCCTTTGCCATTATTAAAGAAGTTTTGTGAATCAGCACATCTGGAAAAATAGCTCACACCACACATGCTCTGTCAAAAGCAAGCCAAGAACATGATTTTTCTGAGTACCACTTATTAATAACACTGGTTCTTTGATTTTATGAAATACTCAGCCCCCTGAATGTCCAGTTTTCTAAAAGCTCTTTGAACTCTTTGTAAGTTATAAGTGTTTTTGTTCACAACCTGTAATCTTAGAAGGCATTCAGTCAACAAATATTTATTTGGTTCTTATATGTATTATGCACATAGAATGGTTCAACTCTAGCATCCCTTCCAGCATTCAGTGCATTCTGTTTTGTGTTCAGGTTATTGCATTGTTGAGATATCACAGTTCTTTGTATAAGATCAGTTCAAAAGAAAAAGTGCTGACATCTTTGATCCCAAATTAGCAGTTGCTCTCAGAGGTGCTCTCAGTTTGCTGGGATGTGTGATGCCTTTAACCTTATCTTTTTGTGTTTGTAAGCTGTTTCATTTTATGTATGTGCATTTGTTTTAGTAGGTGGTTTAAGACTTTAAATAGATTTTTCTTGCTGAGCTACTTGGAGTCATTGACTTCAATGAAAAGGGCAGTTATAAGATTTCTGTGGCTGGTCTTCTTCCAATTGTTCTGTTGTAGGGTGTGAATATTACTGAAGAGATTTTGCAGAAAATATACTTTTTATAGGAAAGAAGCAAATTAACAAGGCACTGATGTGGTATTACAAGCTGGCTCTAATGACCTAGAGCTCTATTGCAGTCTGTCCTTTCTTCTAACACCCGCATTGTAAGAAAATTTTATTTGTAGAAGTAAGGAAGATTGGGTTATTCATTCAATACATGTGTATTTATTGAGTGCCCACTGTTTGTCTGGCTCTCAAGATATGCAGGGAATAGGAGAGATGAGGTTCCTCCATTTCTAGGTTTTACATTCTGGTTGGGAGAAGCAGATAATGAACATAAGTAAGATTTTGGTAAGTGCTATGAAAAACAAGAACAGTATCATAGAAAAGAACTTTAGGTGTAATATTTAGCTAGGCTTCTCTGAGCAGGTGGCATCTGAGCTGAGATCTGAATGACAAAAGGCCAGCTATGAGAAGATCTAGGCTGAAGGGACACAATTGCAGGGACCTTAAAGCAGGAATGAGCTGCCCTCTAGACTTGGCCCTACCTGCTCATCTTCCAGCTACTGCTGCCGAAGAAGAGGACAGGCCAGTGTGGCTAGAATGTAGTTAGGGATGGAAGGGTACCAGATGAGGTCTGGCAGACACAGGAACAGAGAGCAGCAGGGCCTTGTAAGCCACGGGGGCACATATTTTATTCTAAATAAAATGGAATTTTTCATTCAAGGATTTTTTTAAATAAGGGAGTGATATGATCTGACTTGTCATTTAAAAAATATTATGCCAGGTCTTTTGTAAAGATTGAGTTTTAGGGAGGCAAGGGGGAAAGTAATAAGACTCTTTAAGAAACTGTTGCTTAGTTTAGGAAAGAAGAGACAGTGGTTTTGGACCAATTTGGGTAGTATGGGTGATTGGAAGGGGCAGATTGGAGACATGTTTTGAAGGTAACAGACAGGACCTAGATCCTTTGGATGTTGGAGGGTTGGGTAGAGAATGAAAGAGAGTAGTCAGGGATAACTAGTTCGTTTGGGGCTTGGGCATCTGGTTGTATGGCCAAACTATATATGGAAATGGAAAAACTTTAGAAGGAACATGATTTTGCTTTGGCAGATGGAATGAATCAGTTATCTGTTGTAGGCCATGTTTGAGGTGCCAGTTGGTTATCTAAGTAGACAGATGAGAGTCTGCAGCTCAGGGAAGAGTTCTCATTGAACATACTAATGTAGGAGTGTGCCATGTAGACTATATATTTAGAGTCATGGTATTGGATAAACTTACCTCTGGAGAGAGTTTAGATGGATGGAGGTTTTAGGACTGAGTCTTACACTCTCTCAACATTTAACACTCTAGTGAAGGAAGAAGAGATACCAAAAAAAGGACTGAGAAGAAGCCACTGTAGTTGGAAACAGCAACAACAAAAAAAGGAAAATGAGGTGTCGTGGGAGCCCAGGAAAGTAAGTATTTCAAAATGGAGAAAGAAGCCTCTATGGGATTTGGCAATATGGAGGTTATTGACAAAAGCAGTAGGGATTGGAGCAAGCTGAAGTATGAATACAATGTGGGAAAGTGGAGACCCTGCTATAGTCAGCACTATTGAAGAGTTCTGCTGTGAAGGGAAATGGAGCAGTTAACTACAGGAGATCAAAGAAGTATTTGGGGTGTGGGTTGGAGGACTGGGAGGAATGCATGTTTGTTTTCCAGGTAAAGATACAGTACTGCAAAATGTTCCACAGGCTAATGGGAATGATCCAATAAAGGGAAGAAATCCCTTTGCAGTATGGGACACTCTTTTTTCTTGTCATTTGATCTACAAGCATGAAAGACTCTACTCCAGCCCCCAGGCCCTTTGATTGTGGTAAAGGCTGTATTTTTGGCAGGGGAAATGTGAAGGGGCGGGGAAGGAGTACACAGAATTTTAAATGTTTCCATTATTTGAAAATCAGCTTCTGTTGAGTTCACTTCCTTAGGGCTTCAGACCCAACATGGTCATCTTGCTTGCCGCCATCATCTTTTGCCCCATCGCCTCCATAACTTCTGGACTGGCCTTGGCCCTTAACCCACCCAGCCAGCCAGTCTCTGCTAGAGTAATGCTTCCTCCTAGCATAGAGCTGCTGTCCCTGCTTAGACCCTTAACACTTTCCCAAAGCCTTCAGGATAGAGTTCCCAACTCCCAGGTACACAAAATCAACCGCTCTGCTCTGCAGTTTCACCTCTTCTTCACCAACTCACAGCTTCCTGCCTGCATGCGTTGTGTCATTTCATGTGTCCTTTCCTTTGAATGTGCTGCTCCTCTCAGAGTGCCACACTCCAGTCCAGATCGCCCAGGAGACCGATCTGACACCTTACCCTGCTCCTCCAGGCTTTGTAGTTGCTTTACAGCCTTGTTCCTAGGTTTGCACTCTGACAAAGGTAAGATGCAGGCTTATTTTTACCACTTGACTGTGCATTCCTTGAGGATAGCAGTTTGCATGTCATTCACGTCTGAATCTCATTTGCTTAATTAGTGCTTGACACATGGCAGGGTTGAATATTTAATGAATTGAGTAAAAATAACTATTTACACAAGAACAATTTGGCTTAAAAAAAAGTCTGCTGATTCTTTAAAAGCATTATCTCTTATTTAAAATACTGTGTTATCAATGTGATGTTTATATTCAACTTCGAAGAGTTTAAGTTTTATGTAATATAAACCAATACAGCATGAAATAAAGAGACAGATTGGTAGGGAAGACTATATCCCACCCCAGTGGTGGCTTAAAAGCACCCTCCTCCCCAATCCCTTGCCCACCTTTTCCCTTCATTTTCCCTGCTTTTTCTTTGGTCACAGGAATAATTAACCCAATGGCATATTGTTTTACAGGTCCACAAGGTCAGCTTTATTTGGAGTTGTATATGAAAATAATTACCCCAAATGAAGTAATTCATTGACTTTAGTGGGAGAATGTTTTCCAGGTCTGCCCCTTACCCTCACCTCATAGAATAAAAAGGTGGTGATATAATTTATGGGGCTAGAAAGGAAAAATACAGATAGTTGCTTATTAAGTTAATTTTTGTTTCTACATTCATTTTTGTGCTTAGGATAACATTGAACTTAATGCTTTGGGACACATGAACATCGTACATAAGTGTATTGAGTACATACATTTTATATATAAGTAAACTGAATCTGCAGGCCTCTGTTTGCTCTCTGAGTGCTGTTCTTTAAGAGCTTAATGGGAAATGTCTCTTAACCCTTCAAAGAACAGATGTTAGAAACTTATTTAAAAAAAAAAAGAAATGGAAATTGATATTTGAAATTATTCTTTGAGCAAATGATAGTATGCCATTTGTTCATACTTGGTTTATCCCACATTTTAAAACTAAAGCATTTCTTAGTGATTTATTTTTAGAGAGGGATTAAGCACTCCCGTGGGGATATATCAAGCTTGAGGAAAACATGTATAGTTTGAAAATAAAATAACTATTTTTTAAAAAAAAAAGAAAGCTGACTTCGTGGTGCCTGAATGTTACATTTGAAATCAACTTTTTTGCATCTTTCTGAGTCTACTTTTTTGCCTTTTGCCTTCTTGGCTTCAAGAATAAGCACAGGCTAATATTAGATAGGCATGCATCATGAGGGATAGCATTTGGCTAGAAGTGATAGAAATCTAACTATAATCACTTAACCAAATAAGAGGTTTATTTCTCTCCCATTACAAATCCAGAAAGAGGTAAACCAGGTCTGGTATAGTGATTCCAGGGTATCATCATCCATTACCTGGTCTCCTCCATTTTTGCTGCTCTGCCATCTTTAGCATGCTTTTGCTTTCAGGGACCACCCCCCCAAGACCTAGACCTAGGAAGAGGGGAAAAGGATGAAAAGCAGAAGGTATGAGTAGCTAAGTCCTTTTTATGAGACTATTAGCTTTCTCATAGTGTATTTCCACCAACATCTTACTGGCCAGAACTATAGTACATGGGCAGCAGTTAGGCATTGTGGGAAATTAGATTTTATTGGGCTTTTTTTCAACAGCTTTATTGAGATATAATTCACGTATCACCCATTTAAAGTGTACAATTTAACGATTTTCACTATATCCACAATCGAATTCATTTTTAGCATTCCAAACAGAACCCCATATCCATTAGCATTACCCACTCCCAGCCCTAGGCAACTACTAATCTACTTTCTATTTCTACATTTGCCTATTCTGGACCTCTTATGTAAGTGGAATCATAAAATATGTGGCCTTTTGTGTGTAGCTTCTTTTACTTAGTGTTTTTGAGGTTCATGTCATAGCATGTATCAGTACTTCATTCCTTTTTATTGCCGAATAATATTCCATTGTACGGATATATTCTATTCATCATTGTATGGATATATACTATTCATTTGTGAGTTTATGAATATTTGAGGAAATTGTTTTTTTAGTTGAGCATATTCTTACCCTGAGCAAAACTGGGTTTGCATTAGTAAGGAAGTACCATCTAGTTGCTGATGGGCAGCCAGCAATGTCTGTCTCTGTGCAGAAATGGAGTAATGGACTGGAGTCTGGTCTCCTGTAGCAATATCGTTAATGCTTCAGCAGTTCTGTCAAGTATGAGAGGAAGTGCAGTGATTGTGAAGTTTTAATGAATGGAGGGAATGCCCAGTCAGCTGCTTTTAAGGTTGACGAGGACTGCCGTGTTTGAGGAGAAAGCCTGATAGGGATTATTACCTAAACTTTTAGCCTCTAAGTCTGTGTCCTGAAAACCTACTATTCCCTGGTGATTGCTGTTACTTTGGTCTCTGGCTCTACTGTTTTTCATCAGTCCATAATTCTGCCACCACTTTATAGATTTGAGCTTGCAAGGATATTTATTTCTCCTCAGTATTTGGCCTGCAGTATCTCCTACCAAGTGCCTTTCCTCTAGCTTCATGGTCTGATTACCTAGGGCCTTTGGAAGTAAGCCAGAGATTGGCTATATGTTTCCATAAAAAGTCTTATTAAAAGAGCTTAAATAAACATTTATTTATTTAATGCTATATCACCTGAATCTATTGAACTATATTTCTATGCCTTTATTTAGTGTATTTGCGTTCATATAAGGTTTGTTAATTTTTGAAGTTGAACTGTTTGGCCACCGCATTATTCAGTATACACCTAAAGAATGCCCTAGAAGTTGTCTATATAAGTCAGGGAACAGGATACTCTGGATACTCTGATAGATTTGAGGAATTGGTCATAGGTCCTGGCCCCAGAAAAGCACCAGAATTAGTATTTTGAATAAAGTTCCTTTAACTCTGACTTTGCTCAGAATGGGTTTGACTTACCCAAAATCTCTTCATCAGGAAATGCAATGTCTTGATAGACCTGTGTTTTAAGTTTGTATTGGAATCTCTAGGCAGTGCCCCTCTGGCCTTTGCTCTTTTTGTTCCCCCAGAAATACCTACAGATGACTTAGCTGAAGGAAGGGCAGCTTTATTTGACCTGACAAGCATTCTTGGTCAGCAAAGCAGACTCTTGTCTTGTGATAAGTACTCCCTAGGGTTCTTCTTGTACTTCTGGGAAGGCAGGAAAAGGAAGAGACAGGAGGCTGCAGCCCGGTGCTGCCAGGCTTTGTGCATACCTGGGACTGGCTTCTCCCTGAGGACCTTCCCCTGTCTCTACTGTCCTCTCTGGCCACTTTGGACCTCTTTCCATTTTCAGCATCCCTTTGTTGCCAGCCTCACCATCTGGCTCATGTATCATCTGTCCCTCTCAAAAGAGTCTCATTCCCTTTCCACAGGATACAACATTTCAAGTGCATTTAAACAGCATAATAAGATTTAAAAATAGCTGTAAAGATTGCTTTTTTCCCACAGCCATTTTAGGATAGCATCACATTTTAGAGCTAAAAAGAGGTAACCTAACTATATTATTTAACAAGGAAGGAAACTGAATTTAGTATCATTTCCCAGACACAAGATGAAAAATAGACTCTTTCTCACGTTGGTGATTTTTAGGGAGGTGGGTGTTCTTTTTCAGGAAGGGGAATTAATTTATTAGAGTAGTCATTAATACTGCAGAGTTGGGCATTTTATTATTTATTTATTTATTTATTTATTTATTATTTAATTGACAGAGAGAGACAGCAAGAGAGGTAACACAAGCAGGGGGAGTGGGAGAGGGAGAAGCAGGTTTCCCACTGAGCAGGGAGCCCGATGCGGGGCTCGATCCCAGGACCCTGGGACCGTGACCTGAGCCGAAGGCAGTTGCTTAACCAACTGAGCCACCCAGGTGCCCCTAGAGGTGGGTATTTTAATATATATATATCTGTCAAATGAGTAAACATTGATTTTATTTTATTTTTTAGACCTGTGGGCAGTTTGGTATTGGAGCATAGTGTTCAAGACAGAGAGTAAGAGCACCTGGGTGGCTCAGTTGGTTGAGTGCCCAACTCTTGATTTCAGCTCAGTTCATGATCTTAGGGTTGTGAGATCAAGCCCCACATTGGGCTCCATGCTGGGTCTGAAGTCTGTTTGAAATTCTCTCTTTTCCACTGCTCCCCCCACCCCCACCCCCTGCTCGCTCGCTCTCTTAAAAAAAAAAAAAAGATTCAAGGGGTAAATGGCTGATGTTGCATGAAGGGCCTCGCACTGAGAGGTTTGGATTTTGTCCTGTGGGTGATGGAGATTGAGTGAAGGGCTTCCATGAGGTAGTGATGTGGTCACCTTTGTTTTAGCAGTATTGGCCAGGTGGCCATTGCTTACAGGCATTGTGCTAGTTCCTTTATATGCATTATTTCATTTACTCTTCACCATCCTGTCAGGTCGTATTGTCATCATCTCCATTTTACTGCTGAAGAAAGGGAGACTGATATAGTGGAGCTGTGATTTTAATCCAGGGAGTCGGACCAGAGCACAGAGAGAAGGATACTTCTACCATTGGGGTAAAAGTAGAGGATTGCAGGGGTGGTTGGGACATGGTGGGAGACCCTGTTTGGTGGTCTTAGCATCTTTAGTGCCGTAAGAGACAAGTATTATTGATTGCAAGTGAGAGGTTGGACAGAGGCCTGATAAATACCATGAGAGTGTGTAGCCTTCACTATGTGAATTTGCAAGGTTGCTGACCAATATCAAGTGAAAGTGGAACTCAGCTGAGGTTGGGAGACAAGGGATTTATGATGGTACTGTCCTGATTGGGGATGGCATTTTTCTCCACATATTTGACTAGAGTAGAATCTGCTGTTAACAAGGAGTGGATTAAATAAATGTTTATTTCTCTCTCACATTACAGTCCAAAGGGAGGAAAGTGGCCCATGCTGGTGCAGTGGCTCATTTTCTAGATCCACTCAGTGTTCTAGATCCCTTCTGTCTTGTTCTGCCATTCTATAGGCTGTGCTGGTATGGCTGCATGGCCAAAGCTAGGTCTCTGTCACTTCAGTGTTCCAGCTCCTGAAAGGGGCTAAGAGCAGAAGTGGAAAGCAATCATTTCTTTTTAGGTAAGTGAAAGAGAATTTGTGCACATTACTTCTGCTCTCATTCTATTGGTGAGAACTTAGGCTGCAAGAAAGTCTGGGAAATGGGTCTAGCTGGGCAGCCATGTTCCCAGCTAAAACTCTGTTACTGTGGAAGAAGAGAACCGATTTAGGGGGCCAGGTAAGAGAAGGCTGAGTGTGAGGTTGATAAGGGAATTGGACAGGCGGGGGCACAGCAGTGCAAGAGACTTTAGGGTGTTGATGAGATGTAGTTCAAGTGGTCATTTGAGCTCTAGCTCGGCAAGGTATTTAGGCCAGTATATTGAGGGCTTGGAGTCCAAGAGTCTAGGAGGTTGCAGAATAGATGTGAGACTAAAGGAGAGTGGTTTGAATAGGAGTTCATGGTCTGGTTAGAATGGGATCTGGGTTTGGGTCTAAAGGTCGCATAGTTCTGGGAGATGATGGACCTGTGGTAGAGCCGGGGGTTTGGGAGGTTGACAGGGTGAGATGGAGGTTTCACAGAGTACGTTTGGTGTTCCCTGCACAGTGCTCAGACTTCCCATCTTAGCACACAGTACCCTTCACCATCTGGCCCCTAGCTCTCTCTCCCCCTCACACCTTCTTTCTATCCAAGAATCTGTTTTTTTGGAAAACAAATACTCCATTTCCCAGAGGTAAGAAACAAAAATGCCCATCTTGTGGAAAGCTACATCATTTTATATCAAAGGTGATTCCTCTTCTCAGGTTCGTGAAAAGACCCCCAGGCCCAGACTGCCATGACGGTGCCCAGGCTAGGAGGTGAGAGAGGTTGGGGGGTCAGATCTGAGGTGGTCTTATCAGACTGGACTTCCCACTGCCTTCCCAGAGCTGGCTCAGAGATTTTGGCTGTGGATCTTTCAGGGAAGTCCCTGTAGATGCAGGCCATGAGAATTGGCCCTCTCATGCTCCTGTCCAGAGGCCCTGCCCACCCTCCACCCCATCTCAGGAAAGTGGTACACTTCTCTCAGGAAGTGGTATACTTGGAAGTCTGCTTTTCAGAGGAGAACATTCAGTGCTGCTCAGTATGAGACCAGACTTGGTTCCTCTGTTCCTCACCCCCATACTCTACCCACTCCTTCTAAATGTGTCCCTGCACACCCCACTTCACTTTCCTCCATCACTCCTTCTGGACAACTATGACCCCTTCCTAATGGGGCTGCCTTCTAGCCTCCTCAGTCCATTCTTACAGCTGTCTGAGCCATCCTGTGACAGAGAACTCCTCCCAACCAAGGGCCTGTCTGCATCCTCATAGTGGACAAGTGTGGCATGGATTGATTTTCCAGAACAGCTGGAAACCCTATAAGCCTGGACAGGCATTTCAGAAGGAATTTCACTGGAAGCATCACCTCCTTCCCCTGGAAGCTGTGGATGAGGGGAGGGAACCTCCAGAAACAAACCAAGGCCAAAGTGGTTATGCCAGACAGAAGGACTTCCTAGGCTGGGGGTGTGGATAATGTTCCCAGAAGAGAAGCCACCACTGGTGGTGTGGTCCCCCTGTAGACCTTGAGGTCCCTGGGGCTCAGGAAAAAGGAGGGCTGACGCCAGCATAACCTCGGGCTTATTTTCTCTGCAGCAGACTAGGCCAGGGTCCCTCTCAGAAGCAACGCTGTTTGCTTGTCCCAAGTTGACTTTGTGCTGTGGCCTGGCCAGTTGGTATCCCACAGACTGTCTTCACTGTCCTCTCTCTCACTCTGACCCTCCTGTCCCCTTCTTCCTTATCTTTAGCCCTCTCCTGACTCAGCCCTATTCAGCAGCTCCTCTTTCTTTCTCAGGTACATCCTGGGCTCCTGGAACAATCGTCCCCTCTTTCAGAGGACCTTTCTCATCTTACTGTCCTTCTTGCCAACACTACTATCCCCTCCCACCCTGGATCCCCTAGGCTGTGTTCTGCTTATGGCCTTCTTTCCCTCTGATTTTCCCATCTTTGATGGCTTCTTCCTCTATTTGAACTGGACCATGACCTCCCTCTTCTCTCCATTCACTCTCTCCCCTGCCTGGTGCCATCATACTTCCTGGAAGAGCTGATGGTTCGACCTCCCCTGGTCCATCTTGGCTTGCCCAGAGTGTCAGCACCCCTCAGTCTTGGACCAGCATTCTTTCTATACTTTGTGTGTTTACTTTCTGGGGCTGCTCCCTGTGCAGGTCCTAAGACTCCCAGGGCTGCCAGATTCAGTGGCCTTTTCTGAGTCCTCATTCTCCTGACCCTACCAACCACATCACCTTGCTTGAAAGCCTCTTCTATCAACACTGCTCTCCTGGTCCTTTTCTTGCTCTTACCTTCTACACAGGCTTACACCTCTCTCCCATTGCCCCAAATGTGAGGGATTCCTAAGATTCCTATCTCAGCCTTCTTTCTCCATCTTGCCCCTCAGTGATTCCATCTGTGCTCAGATAACTGCTCTGTGCCCAGCACCCACACACCTAGATCTCTGGTCCAGGCCTTTTTGCCTATCTCTTTCTGGATATCCCCACCAGCATATCTTACAGCCATCTCAACCCCAACATAACCAACACAGAACTCAGCCCTTCTCAGCCCTTCTCCCAGGGCCTCCCCAGGGAGCCACCTTCACTCCTTCTGGTACTGAGTTATCTAGGGGAAGAACTTTGACAAGGCTTCTCCATTCCCCCCTCCCGCTGAGAATGTCTGCAGGGTAAGGCTGCCAGAGATACCTTCTTTTTTGAAAATCACTCAAGCATTTATTGCAGACATTGAAAAATTGTTAGGAGAAATGTTTTCCTTTAACATGTTTGGATGCATAGAATCATGTGAATATGAAAGATGTGTATTTTTTTTTTTATCTGTTCCATT